CATTCTTGTTTTGAGTCGTTTCGAGTGTTACTCGATGTGTTTAGGTTGTTTACCTTTTGTTTTCCGTTGTTGAGTCGTAGTGCGCTGTGTTCAGTCGTAGGCTCAATACCCAGTTGAGAACTTATTCTCACTCTCAATTTCAAAAAATCATTTTGTGTTCATAGTGCCCTGTCATTCTCCACATTTGTGAAAAACAGGATTTTGTTCTTTCAAAAACCGCAGGGTTCAACCCGGGTTATATGGGAACAGTAAAACCAGGACCTATCCGTAGCTGTATAGGTTCTAGACTGCAAAGCAAAAGAAAAGAGGGAAAATTTGGAGCATCTTAGCATGTTTCAACTTCGACAATTCCGAGACTGCATTCCAGGTGCACCTTCTCAGGCCTCGTCGTTTCTCTAGAGTATGAGTGTATCTCAACCCCAAGTCTAAGCCTGCTTCAAGTCAGAATGGCAATTAAAGCAACAGCAGATGTTATCTCTCGCCAATATAGACAGGGTGTCCCCTTTTGAGCTGAGCGTGTTGCCAAGTCCTCCGAGAGGTAAATCGGAGGCACCAGAGTACATATTTGATGCTCCTCTATTGCATAGAATGTCAACTTCCATATATACTTCTGTTGCATGCGTGCCGCGCATCGTTATGATTCATGCATAGAATATGCTTGCTTTCAATTCTACATAGAATATGCTTACTTTCAATATTGCATAGAATATGCTCCTGTTTCATACATGGAAAATGCCCCCATACTTGCATAAAAGATGCATTTTATCGCACTTTCTTGTGCATTTTATCTCACTCGCACTGTCTTGTGCACTTACACTTTGTATCTTACTTGCACTGTCTTGTGCATCTTGTGGTTGTATCTCCAATCGCACTATTTTGTGCATTTCAAATCAATCGTGCTGTTTAGCGTATCGCACTGTTTTGTGCATTTCAAATCAATCGCGCTGTTTAGCGTATCGCACTGTTTTGTGCATTTCAAAATAATCACGCTGTTTAGCGTATCGCACTGTTTAGTGCATTTCAAATCATTCGCGTTATTTTACGCATCGCGCTGTTTTGTGCAGGTTTAGGTTCGAACTATTTTGTGCATCGCACTATCTTGTGCACTTTCGCATTTGTAATCACTCGCGCTGTTTAGCGTATCGCACTGTTTTATGCATTTCAAATCAATTGCGCTGTTTAGTGTATCACACTGTTTAGTGCATTTCAAAACAATCGCGTTGTTTAGCGTATCGCACTGTTTAGTGCATTTCAAATCATTCGCGCTATTTTGCGCATCGCGCTGTTTTGTGCAGGTTCAGGTTCGCGCTATTTTGTGCATCGCACTATCTTGTGCACTTTCGCATTTGTAATCACTCGCGCTGTTTAGCGTATCGCACTATTTTGTGCAATTTACTTTCGCGCTTTCTTGCGCATCGCACTGTTTTGTGCATTACATTGTATCATTCACGCTATCTTGCGTACCTTACTTGCACTTGTTAGTGCATTGTATCGCGCTATCTTGCGCACCTTATCTGCATCGCACTGTTTTGTGCATTCGCTCTACTCGCACTGTCTTGCGCACCTTACCTGCACTTGTTAGTGCATTGCATCGCGCTATCTTGCGCACCTTACCTGTACTTGTTAGTGCATTACATCGCACTGTTTTGTGCATTTAATCTACATCGCACTGTCTTGTGTACCTGTATTGCATTGTCTTGCACACCTCTTTAACCTACGCTGTCACGCACGTTACTTGCATTGTCATACACCTCTTTACTTGCGTTGTCACGCACACTTCACTTGCATTGTTATGCACCCATTCCTCCTGCATTGTCATGCACTAATTCGCTTGCATTGTTATGCATCGTTCCACCTGCATTGTTATGCACGTTTCACTCGCATTGTTATGCACGTTTCACTCGCATTGTTATGCACCCTTTCAATTGCATCGTTTTGCACGATCTCTTCCTTCCGAAACACCGGGATACGTCCCTATGTTGCTCCTTCTTTCCGAAACACCGGGATACGTCCCTATGTTTCTCTATCTTTCCGAAACACCGGGATATGTCCCTATGTTTCTTCTCCTGTGTTTGGAAACACTGAGATACGTCCTTATGTTTCTCCCACCATTCCGAAACATCGGGATACGTCCCTATGTTTCTCTATCTTTCCGAAACATTGGGATACGTTCCTATGTTTCTCCTACCATTCCAAAATATCGGGATACGTCCCTATGTTTCTCCTACCATTCCGAAACACCAGGATACGTCCCTATGTTTCTCTTTTTTCGAAGCACCGAGATACGTCCCTATGTTTCTCCCTTTTTGGTTAAAAGTGTTTGGAATACGTTCCAATGCTCACACTATTCCGAAACACCGGGATACGTCCCTATGTTTCTCACTTAATCCGAAATAGCGGGATATGTCCCAATGTTTCTCCTTCTTTGGTTAAAAGCGTTTGGAATACGTTCCAATGCTCACACCATTCCGAAACACCGGGATACGTCCCTATGCTTCTCACTCAATCCGAAACAGCGGGATATGTCCCAATGTTTCTCCTTCTTTGGTTACGAGCATTTGGAATACGTTCCAACGCTTATACCTTTCCGAAACACCGGGATATGTCCCTACGTTTCTCCCTCTTTGGTTAAGAGTATTTGGAATACGTTCCAATGCTTATACCTTTCCGGAACACCGGGATACGTCCCTATGTTTCTCCATCTTTGGTTAAGAGCATTTGGAACATGTTCTAATACTTATGCCACTCTTTTTCCTTTCGCGTACAACGCGCCGGAATCTTGTTTGAGACCTCGGGTGTCCCCAACGGTCGCTCTTAGTGTTCTCCGCGTGAGACATAGCGAGAATTGAATAATTCTCTTACATCCTTTCTGCATTGTAATGTAGCTTGGTTTCTACTTGCTTAAAACTGTTGCATTGTTATGCTTCGTTACAGCTTTCTTTGCATGATTATAAGTCATGCCCTTGCATCTTGCATACTGTTTGCATTTTGCCCCAGCCTCCGGGATCTCTGCATGCCTATATTGATTGATTGTTTGAGTCTTCGGCCTTGTCAAAAATGGGTCGTCTCTGGGCTTTGACACTCACTCCCGTCACTTTATGACTGTTGAGTTCTGTCAAAGAGGGGCAACTATAGACACCCTATTTTTGACCGTCCTCGGGACTTGGTTGTGCTTGCAGGTACACTCAACAACTAGTTCGACTGCTCGTTGAGTACTCGACTGTCGCGGCGGAACATCACCGGTTCGAACTTCCCGGACCTTGTATCCTTTCTGCCCCATTTTTGGACCTTGGCTAGGTCCTTTCAGAGTGACCCTTTTGGTGCACTGCCGGCCATTGCTTTGCTCCTGCCGACCACTGGTAAAGCCCTGCCGGCCATCAGTGAGCCACTGCCGGCCATTGATGATAGCCGGCACCCCCCCTGTACAATGGCCGGCACCCCCCCTGTCTCAGCTGGTTTTCCTCCAAATCTTTTGAGCCAGCTGGGTTTTTGTTTGCTCCCCTCCATACACGTGTATGGAAGGATGAAGCCCTTGTAAAGCTTCTTGAAGAAGCTTTGGCTTTGCATTCCTCTATATAAGCAAAAGGGCTCCCTCTTTGCCAGAGGTTCTGAGTTTTGGAGAGCAAAAACTCTATTTCTCTCTATATTGTTTGTATTTTGTGCTTAGAAATTGGATTTCCTTGCACTTTTACACTACAACACCTAGATATACACCACCACCATTGAACCAAGCTTCTTGGGAGGTCCTCTTGAGGTCTGAAAGCAAGCTTCCACCCCCTGAAATTGCTGGTTTCGAAGAGGGTCTTCAAGGGTGAGCATTTCCCCCATTTTTGTACTTTTTTGCACCTTGCTTTAGCCCTCTTTGCATATTGATTTAGGCTTTTCTTATAACTGGAAAAAGTCTTGTTTTTAAGTGTTTTTTAAGTTTGGTTAAGGTCATATTGCTATTTGGGGTGTGTAGCCCCCTTGAATGCTTTGTTTGGCTTTGTTTTAAGCCATATCTTGAGGCCTCGGAGCTAGCCTTGGTTTGGCCTTCCTACCACTAAAATCCAGTGGGATTTTGGTGGTAGAGGTGTGGTTTTGAGGTCCTAAATCAGAGGGGGTAGTCCCCTCTCTTTGTGTCCCTCTTTATTTGCATTTTTGGCCTTCCAAAGAACCATCCTTCTATGTATTTTTGAGGCTTGGTTCAGGCCTATTTTTGTGACTTTTAGGACCTACCTTGGCCCTGTCCATGGCTGGTTTGGTCATATTTTGCATGCATATAGTATGTGTAGTGTAACTCCATCCATAGCTCATCAAAGTAGCATGTGTGCTTAGTTTGTGTTGAGTCCATTTCAGTGAGTTTTTGGTAATGTTTTACCATTCCATGAACCTTTTTTGGGTTGGTTTTGCTACTCCATGCTTGCATGATATACTTGTAATGTAAATCTCCTAAACTAGCTTCATATGCTCCATGACATGCCATGTCATTTTAGCTTGTTTGGTTTACATTCCAGCATGTATTTGGTCATCATTTGGCATGTTATCACCCTATCCATAGTTGGTTTAATCATCCTTTGCATGCTCCATATAGGTGTAGAACAAATCATGTTTACTAGCCCTTTGTGCATGATGTTTTGACTCATCATACTAGCATATTTTGGCTTTGCTCAAACTTGATTTTATGCTTATTTTAAGTGTTCTAGGACTGTTTTGGGCTGCCATGTCCATACCACTCATGCTTTGTATAGTTATAGTGTAAATGCTTAGGCTAGTCTTGGGTTTTGAGGCCCCTACCATGCCATACATGTGATGTTTGCATACCTTGCCCTCATTCCACATACTATTTCAGTCCATGAAATATTGTTGTTCACTCGCATTTGACATGCCTTGAATGCTTTGTATAGCTTGTGCTTTATACTTCAAGAATGGATTTTTGCGCATGCCGCTTAGCCTAAGCCTTTGGCTCATTATTGCAGTACATTTTGGGTCCTAATATACCATGATGTAACTCTACCCAGCTCTATTTCTCTCATTCATTATTTTATTCATACACTTCTTAGTATCACTGTTCTGCTTTGCTTAACCTCTGACTTATAGTTCAGGGATGAAGCAAAAGACTAATCTGAAGTAGTAGTTAATTTTCTGTCTTCTTCTAATTAGTTCAGTCTCACTCACCGTTGACAATTTCCATAGGATTAGTGCAGACATGTATCTAGCTGTATCATATCAACATGTGCTAGGCGTTAAGTAGACAATTGTTTACCAATAATCATCTTTCAAAAGCGCCGCTACAATTTATGCATTGCATGGGATCAGATATAAATATTATGTGTTTACCTCTTTGCCTTCTGGATATTTACTCTCTCTCTCTGTTTAGCAGTATTAATTTGTTATATATGGATATAACTAGAGAGGGTTACCCGTGTCTAGAGTAACTGTATTGACCTCTGTTGTTTTATTGTTCTCCTTAAGCGTTAAATGCTGTTTAAATCAGGATGATGTGATGGTTTTACTTGATATAAGTATTAAAAAGAATATGTTGAGGGAGATGAATAGTGTTCACATTACAATTTTGGGGGTTACGCAATGATATTCAGTGATATGGTTGTGAACTTCATAACTTTACTGGTTTGTCCTATGCAATTGTTGACTAGATTCCCAACATGTTTGTTGATACCTTTTAAGGCTTCTAAAAATCAGACTGGGAGAAAGAGAAAGCAGCCTGTGTCATCTTCAGGTCCGGCCAATAGCTCAGGAACAGCAAACACAGCGGGACCCTCCCCAAGTTCAGCACCATCAACACCATCAACTCATACACCTGGAGATGTAATCTCAATGCCTGCGTTGCCACATGGTGGTAGTTCTTCAAAACCTTTGATGATGTTTGGCACTGATGGTGGTGGCACTCTTACATCTCCGTCAAATCAATTGGTGAAAAAATTATTTATATTCTTGTATTAACGAAATATTATTTAAATATATATATATATATAGATGTCTATTACATCAACTCTCATTGGCATTTCATTTTTGCAGTGGGATGACAAAGATATTGTGCAGGCTGATATTGATCGTTTCGTGGAGGATGCATCTCTTGATGATAATGTTGAGTCTTTTTTATCTCATGAGGATACAGACCCCAGAGATACAGTTGGTCGTTGTATGGATGTTAGCAAAGGTGAGTCAGCTGAATATTTTTTTTTTATTTTTCACTTGGCATTAGTGTCAAATTTGTATTCGACTATAATCTTGTTTGATCCACCTAGAGCATATTATGAGGTACCTCTTTGCATTCTATTTCAGGGTTCACATTTACGGAAATCAATTCAGTTCGAGCTAGTACAAACAAAGTTGTGTGTTGCCACTTCTCATCAGATGGAAAACTGCTTGCAAGTGGTGGCCATGACAAAAAGGTGCGCACATGAGATTCTTTAGTTTCATGAATGACTGAAAGAAATGTTTTTTTTGAACAATGAAAGAATAAATGTTTGAAAGCTTATTTTATGTTGCTGGGAGTCTTAAAGCTGCTTAATAGTAATTAATTCAATCTTGGAAAAGTAATGTGTTCTTTTTCGCCTGATGATTTCTGATGCAGGCTGTATTGTGGTATACGGATTCCTTGAAGGCAAAAAGTACACTTGAAGAACATTCTTCGTTAATTACTGATGTCCGTTTCAGCCCCAGCATAGCACGTCTTGCAACATCTTCTTTTGACAAAACTGTGAGGGTTTGGGATGCTGACAATGTTAGTACACATAATCTTTCCTTTCTTACTCCATTGTGATTTCGTATCATTTTTTGTTGATGGATCATAATTCTTCTTCTAATTCCTACAAACGAATTGGATACAGATCAAAACGGATTCATTTCCAGGATTTTCTGTCATTGACCTATAGTGGGCCATGAGTCAGGGTTTCCTAAATTCTCCAAAATAAAATATTTAGGTGGCGACTCTGTATCTGGCAAAGCAGTCCATGTTTGGCACTTCTTTAAAAAAAAAAATCTGTTTTCAAAAACGATTTGCCAGATTTGGACTCTTTGACGATTCATCGGTCTTGAATTGTACTCTGCGAGATTAGATACAAGACCGTGACTTTGAGTCCTGAACTGTAGTGAGCCTCAAATGAACAAAACGGGACGGGATTTCCCTCCCGGGACGTTCGGGGACGTCTATACTACGGTAAAGTAACTTTTCCAAATAGTGGCATCATACTCGATACACCGTACAGATCTTAGTCTAATCGCTTTCTAGTGCTTAACCCGAATTCTCTATTTGCTCACCTTCTAGGTGCCAAATGAGATCTCGCATTTGGCTAATCATAACAGGCACAACATAGAAAGTGAGTACTAACATCTATGTTTGGTCCTTAACACGACCTCATCTTGGTTGTAACCAAGGCGACATACATAGTGGAAATTTAAGCCTCTATTGGCTCCAAATAAAAATAAACCACTAGTCTCATCCTTACTCGCTCCCAAGCGCTAAGGGCGATTGCTCGTGTAAGTGAGCTAATCTTGCCTGCTGACATCATCATCTGCTAATCATTATGACACAAACCATAATAGTGTCAACATCCCATCATCTCACAACAAATAAGTGATTGATTTTAAAAAACACGACCACAGTCTGCGCAATTTTAAATTCCAAGCATCAACACCTCTTACGATAAACATATACAACGGAATCCACCATGTGCGCCTCACATGAAGTGGTTCAAGATCACTACCTCTGGCGCAATTACCTCTCTAAAGATATTTTGGTGACCAATCTGCGTTCATTCAAGATGCGTCCAACTAGCGCATTGAATCTTACAAGGGGCAAATTTATATACTACTAGTAAAGCATTCTATCCACAGTCTAATGAGCATGGTCAATGTCTAAACTACTTAGTTGACCATTTACCAAAGATAACACTCATCATGCCGAATACGCCCACATAGCGTACTTCAGGCTTCCACAACAAAACAAAAAAAAAAAGATTAAGGAATATAGGTCATTTGTTTCTCTCAAAGACAATCCGAGGATTCACTCAATAGCTAAGGCTCTGGCTTTTACCGATAGGTAAGTAATTGGGTTTGCAATTTTGCATCTAGAATCATTCTAGGATATTCTTTATGCAAGTCATCAAAGACAAACCGGTAACTCTCCCAAAACAATCCCTAAGGATCGTACATCCAAGCATATAAATTACATCACCCATGTCCATCATATCTAAAACAGAGGACTGCCTACCCTAGGTGGCGACAACCTTATAAATTCCTGGCTCATAATGACTAAGTAAGGAAAAACTTCTTTTGGACCATTGATCATGCCTCAGTGGACTTCATCGATCATCATTGGCCTATCATGGCTCAACGAAATCTAAGAACCACTATTTGGATAATTGTTTTAGGCTGTAAAAGATTTATTGAAACTAGCAACCTTTTTGCGCTTCTAACTTTTCACTATAAAAGCATAAGGTAAATCCCTACGGATATACTTATCCAATTCTGCAACGAGAAGTTGGGTCACAACATCCACAAATCAATGTTCCGAACTTACGTCAATCATAATCTAAGTCAAAATAACCTCACTCCCCAAGAGGAAGTCTTCTCATGGTCTACACCTTCCTCAATGGTGCGACTTTTCAATATCTAGCGAGCCTTATGCCTCAACAATGACTATCCAAATTGAGCATAACTTTAGAACAGTTTCGCGTCATAATGGAAAGTCAACCAAATTATAGAAATGGTTAATCCTCAAAGACTTGTCTTAAACTGTGCAACATTGATCCGCTTTCGAAAAACAGGGGACTAGAGCCTTTGGCATTATCCTAGGCTCTTTATCATCTTGCAGAGCAATCATGAATGTTTCCCTCTCAATCATCCAGTGATGACGTAGAAAATTTTCACATTTGCTACCACGCAACAAAAAATGTAATGTATTCTTCTCTAATGGAGTAATCCACTAGTAGGCACATCGCTCCCACTGTCCCTAGGATATTGGAAATTTCTTTCCATTCTCAACTAGACTACATAAAGCGCTATACTTAGAATTCTCTATCTTATAAAGTTCCAAAACTCTATTCACGTCACATTTACTAAGAAAACTTTATGAGACTTAGTTACACTACCACAAAGTTGCTTACCTATATGTACATGACCCGGAGGGTTTACATGACAACATACAATAATGCGCCATAGAACCCTAGGTTTTAACTTCGCAACCTTATGAGAAGTAAAATAAAAATAAGCTACTTAACGGTTACAGATCGCCCATAAATGGCTCTCCGCTAACCCATTACTCAAATGGAGTGTAAAATCTGATATAGAGGGCACTTAGTTAGGGATATAGGCAACAAACTAAAGTGCAATTCCCAATTGGGAAATATTTTGCGCCATCATCCACCTAACATTAACAATACTTAATTCCTTATCTCTACTATATCATTGTGTTACTGAGTACTAGGAAAAATCAATTTTCTAAGCATCCATCCCTCTTCATAGAGCTTTCAAAAAAAACTCAAATAGATACTCGCCACCTTGGTCAAAACTAAAAGCATAAAAGCTCTTATCTAGTTGATCTCAACCTCATGTGTGCAATGTCAAAAATCATCTCAAAACTTTTGACTTATAGGAGATCAAATAGCTTTGACTAAGATGCGTATTGTAATTTATAAATGTGTTGAGATTGGAGCTAGCTATCATACCCTTCCACATATCCAGTCACAAATAACATAGTGGACTAAATGCGCCAAAACAAATGTCCTTCTGCGGCTTTCCTACTTACTTGTGCTCAACCATTGCGAATAAAGTTACACATTCACATAAGAGCAGAATGTCACAAGCAAGTGGGCCCGAGAGGGCCTACTCAAACCATCCATGTCATCTTCTCATTGATGTGATTAAGTATAAGAAGCCATTGGTTTCAAGACCAAAGTCATAAACTAATTCCAATCATCCTAATGTGTGAGTTCTTGAAGACAAGTGTAAAGGTTTAGGCCTAACTAGGTAATGACTCACGACTAATTCATGTTCACTAGATCATAAAAGGATGTCATGGAGATATCAAATGAGCCTAAGTCACAAATTTAACTAGTAAGTGCTAATCCCCTGTACCTTCAAGTCAATTTTATTCTCCATACACTTTATTGCATCTAGTTGAAACATAATGATACTTCTCTTGCCATCTCTATTTCTCGCTTCATAGTTAGTTGCAATTAATTCTACTATCCGCAAGAATGAGAGAATAAGCTATCAATCTATGACAACTCCTGAAATAACTTAAGTGCAAATTAGGCTAAAGAGTCTAATTTAACACAATGCTCTCACGAGCGCTGCGTCAAATTCTTAGAGTCATAACAACCTTGTTGGCCTTAACATTTTCATTACTATGCTGCAACTTTTGCACTTAGAGATAAACGTCATTCAAAAGCGTTTAACCTAGCTAAGGAATCATATAAAGAAGCACATCCTCATATCTCACACTCAAGTGTGGAAACAGTAAGTATCCAAACTTAGACAAATTGACAATGCTAATAGATTTTGCATCCACTAGGCGCTAATCTTTTCACTTAGTGTTAATAGATTTTGCAGCTTGTAAGCGCTAATCTTTTAACTTCAAGTGATACTTCAACGTATACTATTACAATGCGTGAAATCTTGCTCCATCCACTCCCATCAGTTGGGTAGAGAGCAAAACACTGCTTATACTAGCTACTTGTCTTACACTTAATGACTAACTTATTTAAGCTCGCATTTATTGGATGACGTGACTTTCGAATGTTGCTTCATCCAATGATGCAACATTATTACAAGTCAAATTACAAAGTCAATCTGCGCAGCTTAATAGTCAAGATCATATCTAGATCTATTGAGGGCTTACTCATTTCACAACTCTAAACTCGCCAATCAAAAACTACTTAGCATGCCGCTAACCATAGCACACATATCATTTTTTTTTATTGTGCCAAACAAGGTAACAAAATCACGGCGACTTTGAGTCATGTTTCATTACTTGGCTCAATTAAGATCTGACCTAACGTCTCTAAGACTTTCTGTTCATCTAAATAATAGGATTATATTGTTCACATTTGAACATCTCTACTAAGTCTAGGTCAACCAAATTAACTTCCATAAGCTAAGTAAATTTAGAGGGATATTCGCATTGGGATTAATTTGATTAGCATAATATAATTGTGCTGCAAAAATCTAAATTAAATAGTGACAATATTACACAAGTTGTAAGATCGAAAATCCGCTCGTAATCATCTCTTGCGCCACAGGTGACAATTATCCAAAATTTAATTTAATTCATGTGCAAAATATTAGTTTTTGGGAGTAAATCTACAAAGATTTCTCTCAACCGAACAATCTCCCACTGACTATGGCATGTCTAAAATATGATAAAATATTCTAATTCCATATAATAACATCTTAATGTAGACTCACAATCAACTCATGTTATGTTACATTTAATAATGAAATTTAAATAAAAAATAAGTAATCATGCTATTCTAATCACAACATATAAGGAACTTTAAGCAAAAAATAGCAATATGCTGTGTTTAATATTCAAATTATGTCATAACATAAAGTATATCACTTTTGAAATTTTTCTGTTATTTTTTGGAATTTTAAATAATTAATGAATACACATAAAATCATAAATAAATATTCCAGAATCTGAAAAAATGCAACAACCATACCAGTAAATAGTAAACCATTACAGTGGTCTACAGTAAAAATTTTAGCTCCAAAAACTTAATCATGCAACACTAGAAGCATTTTAAAGCAGAAATAATGAATTATTATTTCAAG